ATATTTCTGCTAGTGAGTAATTGTTTATAGCCTATTAGAAATTACAAATATGAACTCATTAGTGGGCCAAGATAAAGTGGCTAATGTTTATATCAGGAAGAAATTAACAAAACAGCTCCAAATCATTGGCAATTTACTGTTGTTAATGTAAAGCTAACAAACTCCTTTTTTTGTGGAAAAAATAATTACTGGGTTAGGAGCAAGAAAATACAGTTATGCTACTTTGTGGCCTGGAGAGGTAGCAGTGAGAAAGACCCATTCAAATGCTTAGCTTTGAATCCTGACTCTACTATCTAGCTGTGAGACCTTGGACAAGTTAATTAATCTCTCCACTTCCTCAGTTTCCCTGTCTGTAAGATGGCCATGCTAACAATAGTATGTCAGTCAGGGTTCAATCAGAGAAACAGAACCAATAGGATGAATATTTATTACATGGAATAATAAATGTGGGGGCTGGCTAAGCAATTCCAATATCCATATGCTATAGTTCAAAGTTGTGGAATTTCTTCCCCACCCCCTCCATGCTTGTGCACACACACACACAGTCATGAAGCCTTTGCTTTTAAGCCCATCCAGATTATTCAGGACATCAAGTGGCTATAAACTTTAATAAAATCTACAAAGTATCTTCAGAGCAACACCTAGGTTAGCATTTGATCGTATAAGGGGTGACTGTAGCCCAGCCAAGTCGGCACATCACAAGAACCTCTATCACAAGTCATTGTAAGGATACAGTGATGTCAGCAGTGAGCAGACTGTTCAGATGTTAACTGAGTAGACTAACCTGGTTCCATGGCTGCCCCTGACTCCCAGGTGCCCTGGTCTGACACGGAGGGATTCTTGTCAGAAGTGGCAATAAAATCCCAACTCTTCTGCCTAGTAGACGTATTGGGCAGTAGTCTCTGAGTAACTATGTGCTGGCCCAGACACCTACTACGTGCCATGACACACCCAGGGGAAGCTGGCTCCAATTCCTCATTAGCAGGAAGCACTTCAATAATCACCTTTATTCTGTCTCAGTGTCATCTCTACAAAAAAATGTTCTTTCCACTTAAGGGCCCCCAGGTTATATGCCATTCTGGGGGTCGGGGGACAATTTAGGCAAGCACTCAGTGTTTCCACTCCCATCTAGAATTTCAAGAGTCAGTTTCTGACGTTTCCTCAGAAGAAAGGGTGGAAGCTGTCTGCTCCCTCGGAAAGCAGTAGCTAAAGCCAAGTTGAAACAGGAGAACCTGCCCATTTGTCCCCCTGAGGTGCTTGGCTGTAGTGATCTAAATCCACACCAAGGCCTCCGACCCAGGGAAGGTGAAACTAGAGGAGAGGCCATGGTGGGTGGCCTAGAGAAGGGGGGAAAAGAGGGGCCCTTGGGAACTCCTAGAGCAGTTCTGGCGAAGACAGTTCCATCCAGCAATGTACTTCACAGTCCTGTGAAATGACAAGCTGGGTCTTGCTCAACCCAGCTGATACAGTGTGCGTTTCTGGTATCTGGAATGCAGCCAGAAAGGTGTGGTCCCAGCAATCTGAAGATTTCTGGTTTCTGTCCCTGTTCTGTGGTGCTCCAGGTACCAGTGTCGGTTGTTTGGAATAGTTTTTCTCAGAGCATATGACCGGTTTATTAAGGTAAAATCTGGAAGTTCCACAAATTCTTGTTTCCATGTATTCCTTTTATCTGTCACCTTTATATTTGTTTCCACTTTATCGTATAGTAGTGAGTTTTACAGTTTTACCTTTTATTAAAGGTGTGTTTATATTATTAGTAGTATTATTATCGTTGTTGTTTCAGATGGGGAAGCTAAGGTCTTTCATCTGAACTGAACTCTAAAATCCTTTAAACAAGACTATAAAGCATCATTCAGAACAACAGGCTTTATCTTCCTCTCTGCTGTTTTTGAGCACAGACTTTGGGCTTGAGCTTTCTTTGTCCAGCTGCCTGGATGGTCTCTGTGGAGTTGAGGCAGAAGTTCCGACAGTAACTTTCGCCATGGTTTCCAAGGCGTCTTACGTTGAGTTATCTTGTTTCTTATTTCCATTACACTGGGCAAGTTCAATGTTCCTGTGTTGCAAATTTAATGTAACCCATTTATCAATAATTCACATTTACATCACCCGTTACTTACACATTATAAAATATTGGATATTTTGTCTTTCTACTTACAATTTCAGAATTGTTACTGCAAATGAATTAATTGCATTTTCTCCTTTCGCAAGGCTGAGGTGAAAACTAATGACATAGATAAGAGCCATTTTCCCCCTTGGTAATTAGAAAGCCTTTAGCATTATTATTTAATCCCCAAGGACAGGGTAGGTGATTACTCTGTATGAGTGAGTTGCGGTCTACAGTTCCGTTTTAATTAAAAATTTTTTTCACAATATGAGAGATTTGTTAAGTAAATTTAGCAACTTACGTGCTTCAGGACATAGAAATTGTTTTAAGGTTTCTATAAGATTATTACTGTATCACACTATGATTCTCAGGAAATTTACCTTTTATTAAATGGATTTATAAGGGAAACCTTGTATTTTCCCATAGCTAAATTTTGGTTATATTTATATTTTGACCTTTTTAAGTTCTGCAACTTTCTTAACTTTGTTAGTTTCTTAACACATCATCAGATGTGTTAAGAAACTGCTTCTTTAAAAAGAAAAAGGAAAAGAAAAAGGCCCTGGCCAGTGTGGCTTGGTTGGTTGGGCGTCGTCCTGTGCACGAGGATGTTGCCAGTTGGATTCCGGTCAAGGCCACACGCCCAGGTTGCTGGCTCTACCCCTGGTAGGGGGCACGCCGGAGGCAGTGGATCGATGTTTCTCTCTCTTTCCCTTCTTCTCTCTCTGAAAATCAATAAATTATTCTTTAAAACAAAAAACAAAAAAGAAACTATTTTTTGGCTGAAGAATTCCTTTTCTAGAAATTTATCACAAGGAGGGTAGCACCAAGAATTCTATGTTTCTAGGACACTTTGGGAAATTTCTGATGACTGATGAGTAAGCATGGAACTTCAGTTTTCCCCATGCTCGGCCCCGTTACATGTTGAGCTGTGATAACTCCTGAATGCACTGTAAAAAGTGATAAAATAGGGCTGGCACTGGTTTCCGCGAGGGATTTTAATCAAATGCAGGCCAGATTAAATCTGTTCTGTGAGAAACTGGGTGGCAATTTAACTGTTACCTGATTAATGAAACAAGACGATTCTTAAAGGTGGTGGAGGCTGCAGTCAGAAAGCAGTTAATTGGCTAACTGTCTATTAGCAGGACAAGCCAGATCTGTATTGATCATGAAGGGAAAATTCTGGCTTGATTAACAAACCTTATCAGGGTCGATAAACTAATGGTTGGTTGTAAAATGTAATCTTGCTTCTGTTCTTTAGTAAGGGGCCAAATACAGCCCAGGGAGGGGCTGTGGAGAACGTGAAGGTGTTTGTAAATCAGGAGCTTTTGCAGTTCTTGGGGAAACCTGGTAATGGGAAAGCAGCAGAATTTCTGTCTCAGGCAAAAAGTATCTCTGGTCCTTGAAAGTCATATAGTACAATTCACACAGTTTAATACAGAAGCTACAGCATTGGACTTGTGGCTCCATGTTCTGCTCTGAAATGATTTCTGCTGGAGGCAAACATGTCAAGAGAGGAAACCTTTTTGTATGAAGAAACCTCTTGTCCCAAAGGGCTCTCGGAGGAGTCCTTCCACATGGGACCCCAACACACTTCCTCTGGGAAGCAGATGGGATCGGTATATTGGGATTTCTAGCTTTTTGAAACAAAAGACACCCAGGCCCATGTGCCCTCTTTTTTGAAGAGAGGGCACCTCACCACAGAATTCATAGAAAGCAGGTAACCTGCAAATTCCTTTCCTGTGCCCCTGGGTTAGAAATCATGAATACAGTTGACCTTCGAACAAAATGGGTTTGAACTTGTAGGTCCACATATATGCAGATTTTTCCAATAAATACATTCAGTACTGTAAATGTATTTTCTCTTCCCTATGATTTACTTAGTAACATTTTCTTTTCTCAGCTTACTTTATTGTAAGAGTGCAGTATATAATACATATAACATACAAAATACATATTAATCTACTGTTTGTGTTATCAGCAAGGCTTCCGGTCAACAGTAGGCTATAAGTGGTTAAGTTCTGGGGGAGTCAAAAGTTATATATGGCTTTTCAACTGTGTGGGGGTTGACACCCCCAGCCCCTGCCTTGTTCAAGGGTCAAATGTACCCACTTTTTATGTTGTTACTAAAGGACAGGGAAAAACCTGCAGTTATGTGTCCCAAGAAGGTTAGAGAGTCCCAACTGCATGATGACCCAGGACCACAATTTGTGACCTGAGAAAACCAAGAAATGGTGTCTGAGTTCCTCCAAGTCTTGCCTTAGAACAGAGCCCTTCAGACCTGCAGCGAGCGGCCTAAAGATGGGGCATCCCCTCCGTGTCTGCCCTCCCACGGCTGAGGCGGCAGCAGCCGCANCCCCTCCGTGTCTGCCCTCCCATGGCTGAGGCGGCAGCAGCCGCAGGCTGGCACTGACCAGATGGTGCAGAGTCCCTCTCTGGGCAGAGAATGGAAGCAGCGTGGACAGGTGAATGGGACGACCCATGGCACTGACAAGGAATTNAGGCTGGCACTGACCAGATGGTGCAGAGTCCCTCTCTGGGCAGAGAATGGGACGACCCATGGCACTGACAAGGAACAAAGAGTTTGGGAAGCCCTTTGTTTCTGTCTCTTAGTGGCCTGTGACTTCTAGCTCATCACAGTTACATTAGAATCAGCTTGGCTTGGTCCAGAGGACAGATGCAGCTCCAAGGTCAATAAAACCTAAAACGATAACATTTTATCCTGATAGATTTGGGAGGGAGATGGCAAAAATAAATAAATAAATAGGTAACTCTGTAGGAACTTGACTACGTTGTTTCTTGATGGGCTTAATGCTAAACACAACAAAACACAGAGCAAGTGTAACACTTGGTTCCACAAAGGACCCCCTTCATTGAATGCAGCTGGGAGAGAGGACCTATGAAAATCCTGGACCGAAAAGTTCTGAGTATTCAGGAGAATGAATCCGCCATCACCACTTCCCTTCTGCACACACCACGGTGAGTCCCCAGTCCTTACTGACCTGTGATTCGATGGGATTTAGCCCCACTCGGGGCGTCATACTCAGGTATTTCTTGCATATGAAGCTCTATCTACAATGTGTGGTTGCACAGCTGTGATCATGGACACATTTCTCCATGTGCACAGGTGACAGCAGCCATGTCCCTGCCTCTGTTTATTGCAGCCACTACCAAACTCACCACCGAAGTTCCAGAGAGGAGTGTAGCCATAGAAGGGTTGAGTGGTCACATCACAAACAGGGCTGTCTTTTCAACACCTTCCAACTTCCCTTGTCTTCAACAATAAGATACGCCCTCCAGGGCACTTCCACTAACCTCAGGGAGCTTGGACATTTGCTCCCGGACTCACCCAAGTGTTCCTAGCATCTCACGAAGGAACCTCTGCCCTCTGTGGGTTTAGCCTTCACAGCACATGACAGTGAGCACACCTAATGAGCGTGTCCCATCAGTGAGCGTGCTGGAGCAAGTGCCTTTTTTTTTGTTTGAATTGTTGTTGTTTGCCTTTGGGCATACTCAAGATTCTCACAGAATGGGACAGAATTTCTGAGGAAGAAGTTGTGTAGAGGCAGGAAGATGCAAATTTTAAGTACACAGAGTGCTTTCATTCTAACTTCCAACAGCAGCATCCATTCTTCTCCTAGGTTAAGATTGGGGGCTTCTCTGTTTATATAAACATTCCCCCACCTGGTAACAAGAGACTCATATTTCTGCTGGCTGCTGTCAGAAGGCAATCAAGTGCGTTAATGCCTCCGAGGTGGGCTGGTCGAGGCTGATGAGCTCTGTCACCCAGGAGATCCTGCATAAGGGGAAGTGATGGCTGATAGCGGCTGAGGGAAGCCATAGGCGGGTTCCAGCCCTGTCGCCCACAGTGCTCAGGGTGGTCAGGCAGGAACACCCTACGGAAAGGCTAATACTTCCTGGAGGAGTGAGGAAGCCCACTGGGCTCAGGGCCGGAGTAAACCCGGTGCTCAGCAGGCCATCCAGCCAGGGCTCAGGATCAAAGGTATTGACCAGAAACCCCTTGGGAAGCTGGTTCTGGGTGTTGGATACATGGAACTATGTCATAAAGAGTCTAGAGAGGAAGAGAGGCAGCAAGGAGGGGCCTAGTGAGGATGTTGGGGCAGAGCTGGGCTGCTGTCAAGATGAGGCAAAGTTCAGGAGAACAGGAGCTGGGAGCAAATCACCTGCAGGAAGGAGAGGGCCTGGGAGCCTCATGTCAGCATGAACTTGGCCCAACAATTTCTGCTATTCAAGTGACTCGCCTGGTTCCACACAGCACTCCCACCCGGGTAGAAGAGAAGGCGGAGTCCAAGCCACACTTATCCTGGCTGAGGAGCAGTGCGTCCTGCCTGCAGCATCAGTGGCCAGCAGTGCCAGTGGCCGGACAGTTCAGGTGTTAGAAACACAAGGACTGACGGTAACACCTGTGGCCTTGTGCATCGCCAACAACCTGGGAAACTAAACTTACAAGATGAACCTACCTTTTCCAGGGTACGTTTGTGAGCAGGTGGCCTACAGTAAGTCTGAGCGGTGGCCCTCAGGACAGCGACCCCGGCAGGTGATGTCAGCAGCCTTTGAAAGAAATGTCCTTGCAGACTCCCTCTGGGGAGTTTTCATTTGGGGTTAGGGATGCTTTACTTTGCCTACAAGGAGGAGATGGTCTGCAGAGGAGGCTGGTCAAACTATATAGGGGGTGGTAAGCTCTAGGTGCTTTCTTATAATTTTAACAGTGCAGGTAGAAGAGCCTTCTTAACTCTATAGAACCATGTCACTGAGGTGGAAAGAGCATTAGGCTTGGAGTTGGGAGACACTTGCTGACCTCAGGTCTGTGAGTTAGCTACTTAACATCTTTAAGCCTTTGAGGCTCAGTTCCTCCATCTATAAAATGGGCATATTAATGCTTAATCTTTCTCTCTTACAGGACTAATCAAATACTGATGAACATAATGATGTTGTTGTTAATGACAATGATGATAAATAACAGGTGTCACATAATACCATGTTCTAGGCACACAGCATCTATCGGTTCATTTAATCCTTCGATCATGACTATAGGTAGGTGCCCATACAATCCTTATCTGACAGAAGACATAACAGGCTGTGACTCACTTGCCCAGAGCTGCACAGCTGGCCAGGAATAGCAGAGCAGAACTGAACCTGGGCAGCCTGGCCCAGAGGTGCTTGGCCTGACTGTACCCTGTGTCCTCTCCAAGACAACCTACGTGAACCGGGCTTAACATCTGCCTCCAGAAAGCAGGCCTTCAGCATGTGCTTCATAAAAGAACAAATGAAAGATTTAATGGATACATGAAGTGCTAAGCACACATAAGCAGATATTGTCTTCATTATGACCAGAAATGGGGTAGTTCTGTGTTCTACAATCAAAGGACCACGTCTGAATTCTGCACCAAAACTATCAGGTGATCCGGTAGGAGATGAGTGCTCGGCCCCAGCTGGCCCCAGGTAGGGCTGAGGTGGGTGTGTGTGTGTGTGTGTGTGTGTGTGTGTGTGTGTGTTTGGGGTGGGGGTGAAGGGCTTGCAGCTCAGGCTCAGTGTGGGAGCCTGTTGGTAGCTGCCCAGAGCAGAGGGAGCACTCAGGCCTGAAGCCCTTTTCCTCAGCTGGCTGGGAAGAGGATTTTTCATTCCAGCAGCCCATTGTTTCTGATTGATGAAGAGAGTAGCCTCCACTAGGAGAAGCTGACAAAGGCAATTTACAAAGGGGCAGAGAAGGAGGAATTGAGCCGTGTGCTGCCACGCAGATGCCGCCCAGCACTGCCCCGGGGCCTGGGCACGCCTCACAGACGCGTCTCAGCGCGCAGTGTAAACGCTGCGGCCACCGTTATTTTACTTTTCGGCAGGCCCGGGATCAATGGCAAGCTGCACAGAGGCCATCCATCACCCCAGGAGCAGGCTGTGAGTTATGAGGCCCCGATCTGACATGCCTCTGCTGAGAGCCTCCCTTGCAGAGCCGTTAATGGGCGTGCGGGCTGGTCGGTACTGGACCAGGGTCAAGTTCTCACTCAGGGGCCTTTCTCAGAGGAGCCAGCAGCTGCTGGTACCTCTCCTGAAGGTCAGGAAATGCTTCAGAGGAGCCACTTCACTCCTGCCAAGACGCCTCTGGGGGAGCCCTGTGGATCCAGGGACCCTCGATCCCCAAGTGGGTGTCTAACCCGTATTAGCCCACCTAAACTGATTAAAAACAAAAACAAAACAAAGCATCATTTATCCCATGTTCTCATCCAGTAGTGTCCATTTCTACCTCAGTGACTTTGGACCTCCCAGTTGGGGTGGCCTAGAAACTGGGAGTCACTCCCAGCTGCTTCCCCTCCCTTAGTCCCCACATCCCATCCGACATCAAATGCAGTAGGTCTCACTCCTACATTGTTGGTTCCAAACCCTCCTCCTGACCCACAAGAAGTACATTTTAGATGGCAGCTCAGCATACCATAAAACATGTACACACACACACACACATACACACCCCCCCCGAAACACCCGTTTCAGGAAGCAATACTTGCCCTTCCTAAATGCAAAGTCCTCTGGTTGCTTTTTATTTAGTTCTATTTCAATAAAACAATTTAGTCATGACTCAGTCATTAAATTTATATTCTCTAATCAGTCATGACCCATAATTTGAAAAACACATTCTCTGAAGGTGTAGTGTGATCATGCTGTTTGGCCCCCCGCTGCTAAGCCTGACTCTTGTACTACGTCCCGGCCCCCGTGTCACATGCCTCCACTCACTGCTGTTTGTCTTTAGTCATTTCTCCCTCACTCTCTTCAAGCTGGTCATACTGAACCTCCTTCAGGTCCTTGAACTTGCTGGGCTCTGTGTTAAGTCTGAGTCTTTGAGCAGTCACCGAGTCCTCTGTTTGGAACACTCCCTCCCCTTCCCTGCACTTAGTGCAGTGGTCTAGGTCTACAGTCAGCAAAGGTGAGATGTCAGAAATTCCTTCATGTGTAGAAGAAGGGTTCCAAAGACTTAGGGATATAGGAAGACATGCTGGGCATCCCAGGCTGTAGAAGGTATAGTTAGAAAAGATGAAATTAGCAATTGGCAGAATCTCTATATTGGCTTTTTGTCCTACAGAGCAACGTTGATTTTTTTTAGGCAGGGAAAGTAGAAGCTCTTGGAATAGTCCCCATTGTACCAAAATAGAAAACCCAAAGCCTTGAATTCTCGAAGGCCAGCTAGTTTACATGTCATCTAATGTGCATGAGAACCCTGGAAGAATGCTATCATTAGCCCCCTTTATAGATGAAGACCTACGATGCAAAGAGGCTAAAGACTGTGTTCCTGGGAAAACCTCCTCTCCTGCTCTCCATTCCAGGCCTCTGTTAGCCTGCAGGTGTTGCCTGGTCCTCGGCGCCCCATTTTCACCTCCCCACATTATACATGTTCAAGCTCTGGGTCTGGAATTGGGGAGTGGTGGGGGGCTTCAGAGGAAATGCTGGCCACTTCTGCTCTTTCTGTCCCTGAGCCTGGACAAGGAATACAGTAGCCTTGCAGTAGGACAGAAAAGCATATAATGCCATATTAGTCTTAGCCACTCTAGCTATCATCTTCTAATCTGGCTGAAGCAATTTCAGAAATTCCAGCAATGAGGTAGCCCCCAAGGAGAGCTACTTGCATATGGCAGGCTTCCTGCTATGGGCTGAATGGTGTCTCTCTCCCCACCTCCAAATGCCTATGGAGCAGCCCTAACCTCCAAGGTGACTGTACGTGGAGTTTGGGCCAATAAGAAGATAATAAAGGTTAAGTGAGGTCATAAGGGTGGGGCTCTAATTCAGTAGAACTCATTCTTTAAAAGAGGGAAAGACACCAGAGCTCTCTCCACAGGCACACCGATTAAAGGCCGCGTGAGAACATAGAGAGAATGCAGCCATCTACAAGCCAGGAAGAGAGCTCTCACCAGAAACCAAAAGGACCAGAATCTTGATCTTGGACTTCTAACTTCCAGAACTGTGTGTAAGTAAGTTTCTGTTGTTTAACACCCCCAGTCTGTGGTTCTTTGTGAGGGCAGCCCTCCCACACGCAGACACCTGCCTTAGCCCAGCTGGGAGCTGACCTCCACAGGGCACGGTGTTTGGCCACAGAGGCTGTCTGTGTGTCAAGCACTTTATTCCTGATTAGATTTCTAGCAAGAGTGGTGCCAGGGACTCTTTTTAATACATATTACTATTATCTTGAAAAATTATACTCTACCCTTGTGAACGTTCTGCTTGAAGACTGATTGTGGGGACTGCAACAAATTGTGGCATAATCTTCACTAATGCATAATTAATACACACTGATTCAATTAGTCAGAGCTCCCCCCTTTTCTTGTTAAAAAATTTACATTTATATTAGAAAAGCAAGGAATGTGAGAAAGGGAATAAAAATCCCCAGCACTCTCAGGCCCTCTTCACTTCTTTGTTTCATCAGATGTGTTTTCTCTCTGCTCCTGGTGTTTTTCAGCTCCGCAGTGCTGCAGGGAGCAGGGAAAGGTCTGCCTGCAGTGGCTTGAAAAGTGGACACCCTCTCCCAAATGAAAATCAGCCTGTCAACAGAGGTGCCCCTTCACACCCACACTCAAGCTACCCTCCCCTGCGCTTATTCATCTCTGCAGTTCTGACATTTCTCCTCCAGACCCACAGCCCTCTTCAGCTCGGTCCTGGACTTTACAAGACTTTTCAACCCCTTTCTAACTGCTGTTCCCTTCCTCCCATCCACTTTCTGCACCATTGTCCGCAGCCATCATTCTAAAGTCCCTTTAGTAGTTCCTTATGGAGGAAATATTTGACTGGCTTTTTGCCTTTTAACAACATCTCCGACTCCCTTCCCTGCTTAAGGGGTGGGCGGGCACATGCCCCAGTCCTGCCCCAGGTTACTGCACCCCTGCTGACTGCGACTTTTGCTGGAGCTATGAGAAAGGCGGCATCCACTTCTCTCTGGAATCATTCATCTCTAATAATCCATCACCCAAGGACCGATGATCTGAGAATGACTGAGATCAAGGAAATCCCTTGATAGAGAGAGGAACGGGGAAGCATGGGCTGGAGGGGAAACAAAAGAGAGGAGAGAGTGATGACTTTGCTGTCACCTGGACCCAAACAGTACTGGGGAGCATTTCCTTATCCTGGAACACAGCCTCCTCTAGGAGAGGGCCCTCCCTTCTTTTCCCACCTCCTCTCATCTCTTCCTCTCCATCAGGTTCCCATACACAGCTCTGCCTGAAGTCTCCTGGGTATAATGTTGGATTTCAGGCCCTTATGTTCACTGGGCCAGGATCATGGTCTCCCGAGTCTCCTCCTGCTGACTCTTCTTCTTTCAGACCCAGCTCAAATGTCACCCACAGCTCCCTACTTCCCCGCAGCCACCATGATTAAACCCTCATCTGTGCTCCAACACGACCACGGCTGGTTCTGTTATCACAG